GTTGTCTAGATCGGGGGTTCACAACAGCTACCGCACGAGACTCGGGGATTCTTGTGTGGCCTATAACCCCATGACTCGAGCTAGGCGCCAATGCGAGTGTTGGAGGACTTATGCCTACCCTGACCATGTGGTCCTATCACTCTACCATGAGAGGAGACGTTTGATTAGGATCAATAGGGAGTTACGAGAGGAGATTGATAGACGTTTGGCTGTGGAGGAGACTCAGACAGCTAGGATTCGCGAGCTCGAGACTGAGGTTCGCACGACCACTAAGCGATTGACTAGAGTGGTGAGGGTTGCTCGCGATCGAGTCAGTGGCATCGTAGATGAGTGCGAGGAGTTGATTGGAGGAGTACTCGAGGCTAGTCGAGAGGAGGTGAACCCGGCAGTTGAACTTCCTAGTGATGAGGATATAGGAGATCCTTTGACCGAGCCTCTTGGTGCTGTTGCTGTGGCTGAGACGGGTCTACTCCGGGAGGAGGAGACTGCCAATTCTGAATTTTCGGAGACTTCCACGTCTGAGGCGGATTAAACTAGTAGGGTTGGAAGTAGTGCTTTTGTGTACCATTTTTTTGTGAGAGAAACCATTGGAGTGGTTCTCGTTCCTATAAATGCATGCTATCGTAACTGTTTTAATTGCTACTTCCATGTTTGCTTTTGGTTGTGACTTTGTATCTCTTTGGTATAAGCATGCTCATCTAATGTACTCGTAAACTTTTTCAATATGAATATAAAATATTTTGATTATCTTTAGAGTTTGATTTGCTAATACTTTACCTTTATATTTATTTTATGACGTTCGTCCTCTATAAGACCGATGGAAGGTAGAAGAGGTCGAGGGCGAGGAGTTAGACAACCTCATAACGTGGAAGGCGACTGAGAGCCGGGTGCCAACCAAAATCATGGATCTAAAGGTGAGGTTAAGGAACAAGTGGCTACTGCCATTAATCGAATGACAGACATTCTGGAACGTTTGGCTAACCTACCAGGTCATGGAACTGTAAACCAACCCGTAAACCCTGAGGGTGGGGAGGATAGAGCTCTAAAGTACTTCCAAAGGTTTTTCCCCCCTAAGTTCTCTGGAGGGTCCAATTCAGAAATGGCTGATGGTTAGAAAGAATTGCTAATATTTTGCTACTCTAAATTACACGGAAGAGAGGCAAGTGGCATTTGTCGTGTTTCAGTTCAAGAGAGCTACCCGATCATGGTGGAACATGATAAGGGTCAAGTGGGATAGAAAACAAATTTCTAGGACTTGGGTGAACTTTATCCGGGAGTTTAATGCTAAATTTCTTCCTCTACTAATCCAAGAGAAAAAAGAAGATGATTTCATCAAGTGTAAGCAAGGATTGCTAAGTGTCATGAAGTACGAGACACTATTTATCAAGTTGTCAAAGTTCGCCCCTGAGTTTGTGGCGACCGAACAAAGGAGGATAAGGAGGTTTATTCAAGATTTAAATATGAAAATACAAGAAGGTCTAGCAGCGGCCCAAATCACCAGTTTTAGTGATGCAATTGAGAGGGTTCAGATAATTGAAAGTGCAAAGGCTCAAGTGAGGGATTTTAATGCAAGAAAAAGAAATGCTCCTAAGTGGTAGCCGTGGTCCAGTGGACATGAATGGTCCACCTCCCAAGTTTGGGAGAGGAATGAATGGAGTGAACACCCCGGGAGCACCAAGAGGAACGATGACGAGAGGAGTTACGTTGAGAGGGGCATTCTCTAGAGGGTCGTCAAGTGGAAGGGGACAGTCAAGGAATGTCCCACAAGGAAGTCAAGCATCAACTCCCAGTATGTATTGTAACTATTGTGGGAAGACTAATCATACGGAGGATAGGTGTTGGAAAAAAGAGAAGAAATGCTTGAAGTGTGGAAGTAGTGATCATCAGCTAGCTAGTGTCCTAAGGCTCAAGAGAGAAATGGAGTTCGTCAGATGGGCAAGCCAACCCTCAGTCAGTCTAGTGCAGTGGGGAATCGACCGAGAGTTTCAACTAGGGTTTATGCCCTGGAACATCAACAAGTTCCCAATCCAACGAAGGTTATCGAAGGTACTATCCCTATTTTTCATTGTTTAGCTAAAGTCTTAGTTGACCGTGGTGCTTCGCATACGTTTGTGACTCCTGCTTTTATGTGTAGGGTAGATATAAAACCGGCTAGGTTGTCTTATGATTTAGAGGTTAGAATACCTATTGAAAATCAAAGTCTGATTACGAATTTGGTGTATAGGAACTGTGAAATCTGGGTTGGAAAAAAGAAGTTATTGGTAGACCTAGTGAGTTTGGACATCAATGGGTACGATATTATTATAAGAATGGATTGTTTAGCCCAATATCAAGCTAACTTGAACTGTAGGACGAAAATTGTTGAGTTTTACATTCCAGGGGAAGCAACATTAAGATTGGATATGAAGGGAAGATTAGCTTTGTTTGTCCTCATTTCGGGACTTCAGGTTAGAAAGTTAATAAGTAAGAGAGCTCAAGGTTATTTGGCTTTTCTAATAAACTCTCCAAGTGATAAAATGAAGTTAAAAAATGTGCCAATAGCGAGAGATTATCCTGATGTTTTCTCTAAGTAGTTAGAATCCTTACCTCCCGAGTGAGAGGTGAAGTTTAAGATTGATTTAGTATCACAGCTCCAATTTCTAAAACCCCGTATCGGATGGCTCCTGCAGAATTTAAAGAGTTAAAGATCCAATTACAAGATTTGTTAGAGCAGGGATTCATTAGGGAAAGCGATTTGCCTTGGGGAGCGCCATATTATTTGTCAAGAAAAAGGATAGGAGTTTGAGATTGTGCATAGACCATCGAGAGCTGAATAATGTGACAATAAAGAACAAGTATCTTTTACCGCTTATTGATTAACTGTTTGATCAGTTGCAAGGGTCGGTAGTATTTTCTAAGTTGGACCTTAGGCAAGAGTATTATCAGTTAAGAATTAGGAAGAAAGATGTACCGAGAACTGCTTTAACTCGAGGTATGGGCACTTTAAATTAGTGGTGATGCCCTTCAGATTGACTAATGTTCCTGCCGCATTCATGGACTTAATGCAGCGAGTATTTAAATTATATTTGGATCAGTTTGTGGTGGTGTTTATAGACGACATTTTGGTATATTCTAAGTGTCGAAAAGATCGTGCCTAACGCTTGAAAATAGTGCTACAAACCTTAAGAGAGCACAAATTATATGTTAAGTTCACTAAGTGTGAATTTTGGTTGGAGGAAGTGTTCTTTTTAGGGCATAAGATTTCTAAGAATGGGGATTTCTGTAGACCCAACTAAGGTTGACGCCGTTACTCAATGGAAACAACCAGAGACCCCTACGGAGGTTAGAAGTTTCTTGGGTTTAGCGGGATATTACCGCCGGTTTATTAAGAGCTTTTCGAGGATTGCTGGGCTACTGACTAATCTGACCAAGAAGCATGGCAAGTTTATGTGGAATCCTAAGTGTGAAGTTAGTTTTCAGGAGTTGAAGAAGCGTTTGACAATGGCTTCGATATTGACATTACCTAATGGAACGGAAGGACTTATGGTTTACTCAAATGCCTCTAAGGAAGGATTGGGTTGCATTTTGATGCAAAATGGGAAAGTTATTGCTTATGTCTCTCGAAAATTAAAATCCCATGAACAGAATTACCCGACTCATGATTTGGAGTTAGTTGCAGTCATTTTCGCATTGAAAGAGTGGAGTCATTATTTATATAGGATGACATTTGAGGTTTTTACGGACCATAAGAGTTTTAAATATCTATTTTCTCAAAAGGAGTTGAATTTGAGACAAAGGTGATGGGTAGAATTTCTTAAGAATTATGTCTGTACCATTGACTATCACCCTGGGAAGGCTAATGTAGTAGCGGATACGTTAAGTCGAAAAGCTCAAGTGGCAGGGTTAATGGTTAGAGAGTGGAGTATGTTGGAGAAGGTGAGCGAGTGGAATTCTCGCCTAGAGGGACAAAAGGTTGTATTTGAAAATTTGGCATTAAAGTCTCCATTATTAGAATGCATTAAAGAGGCACAAAAGAAGGATGATATGGTGCAGAAATGGTTTGAAAAAGCACAGAAAAAGGAAACCCAGGATTTTAAAGTAGGGCCTGAAAGAGTACTGAGATTTCAAGATCGAATCGTGGTGCCCGGAGATGAAGGAATAAGAATAGAAATATTGGAGAAAACGTACCGATCTAAGTATACGATACACCCTGAGAGTAATAAAATGTACCAAGATTTAAAAGGGTTGTATTGATGGGATGGCTTGAAAAAGGAAGTGGCTAGATTTGTTCAAGCATGTTTTGTCTGCCAGCAAGTTAAGCTTGAGCACCAGAAACTTTCGGGACTTTTGCAACCTCTAAAGATACTCGAGTGGAAGTGGAAACATATTGCCATGAATTTCGTGGCAGGGTTACCAAGAAATCAAATGGGGCATGACGCGATTTGGGTGGTAGTAGATCGGCTTACTAAGACTACACATTTCCTGCCGGTGAATATGAAATACCCTTTGGAGAAACTAGCAAATCTTATATGGATGAAATTGTGAGGTTACATGGAATTCCTGTAAGTATCGTTTCTAACAGGGATCCAAGGTTTGTTTCCTGATTTTGGCAAAAATTACAAGAGACCTTGGGGACTAAGTTAAACTTGAGTACAACATATTATCCTCAAACGGATGGACAGTCGGAGAGGACAATCTAGACTTTGGAGGATATGTTAAGATCATGTATAATGGAATTCGGAGGAAGTTGGAGTCACCATATGACATTGGTTGAGTTTGCGTATAATAACAGTTACCATACTTCAATTCAAATGGCACCTTACGAAGTATTTTATGAAAGAAAATGTCGATCGCCGACCCATTGGGATGAAGTAGGAGAGAGAAAGATTTTGGATCCGACCACTATACCTTAGATTGAGGAAGCATATGAGAAAGTAAAAATAGTTTGAGAACAGCTTCAAACCGCCTAGAGTAGACAATAGGGTTATGTGGATAATAGAAGAAAAGTCTTGGAATTTGAAATGGAGAATAAGGTCTTCTTAAGAGTTAAACCTATGAAAGGAGGAGTTGTAGCAAAGAAAGGGAAGAAATTAAAACCAAGGTATATTGGACCTTTTGAAATTCTCCGACGAATTGGAAAAGTGGCATATCAGTTCGATTTGCTTGCTAGCATGTCTAAGATCCATAATGTTTTCCACGTTTCTATACTCAAGAAGTATCATCTAGATCCAACTCATGTGATACAGTTGGAAGATATTGAAGTAGATGAGCCACTTTCATATGAAGAATATCCTATGAAGATTCCTGATCGAGAGGTAAAGGACTTGAGAAACAAGAAAATTCCTTTGGTTAAGATCTTTTGGAGAAATCATGAAGTTGAGGAAGCGAATTGGGAGGCAGAAGAGGAGATGCAGAAAAAGTATCCTGAATTGTTTGTTTAGAAAAGTGAGAATTTTGAGAAGAAAATTCTTTTAAAGAGGGAAGGATGTGAGGACTCTAAAATTTTTACTATTTTTGTAAGGTAAATAATAATGATGAAAATATTTATATTATGTTATTTTGCTAAATTTTTGGTATTCTCATCTATTAAAATGTCATTTTAAAACTTAGTTGAAATTTTTATTATTAATTGCCCAGTTATCATTTGGCTAGCATTAAGTGTGAAACTTTGGAATGGTGGCGCGAAATTTAGTCTTAAAATGAAGTTTAGAGCATGTAGAAACTTTAAAGAAATAGAAAAACGATAGGATAATGTTAGTTGAGAGAAATCTAGTTAAGGGCAAAATGTCGCACAAGGACATGACAAATAAGTGAGTAGGTGAGGTGGTTCACCTACTACACTTTAAAGGATGAAACTAGACTTGAGAGTTCATTTTCTTTTTTTCTCCTTGAGCCATTCGAAAATAGAGAGAGAGAGAGAGAGAGAGAGAGGGAGACTTGAGAGCTCTCTATTTTCTCCTCCATCTTGCTTTTGAAGATCACTTGGAAAACAGTCAACCACTACAATTTTGTCTTCTTCTTCTTCTCTTCTTGTTGAGCCGAGAGAGAGAGAGACCAGCCAAGAAGGGGCACCATTCATCTTGTTTCTTGTGAATTTGTGGAAGAAATCACCAAGTAACCTAGAAGATCTTTGACCTTTCTCGGGGAAACTTAAAGGGATGAAACTTAGAAGGAAGTTTTGAGGTTGAATCACACTAGATCTAGTTAGATCTTGAGATTAAAATCGAAAATCACCCTTTATCTTTAATTTCTAGCCATGAAAATGTTAGATTCACTTGATTTAAGTAAGATCTATGGTAGATCTAGTAAATTTCTTGAAAATATATACCACTAGATGTTCTAATGGTTAAAATACTAGCATAGCTCTTGATTTATTGATTGGATTTACTTTAAAATTTTTCATTGATAACCAAGGGCTAATGATTGATGAAGTCTTTAGGGATTTGAGTGAGTTTTTGTTGGCTAAATCATTGTTTTGTTGGCAAAATTCTTGAGGAATTTTCGGATGAACTAGCCGAATGAAGAGGGTTACTTTTTAACCTTCATTTTCAACATTTTTGTGTTCTTTTTAACTAAATTTCACTCAAGTGATTTGGTATTATATTAAACTATGATTATATGTTGAAATTTAGGAATTCTAACGGTTAAAAGTCATTTTTATTTCACTATTTTTGGGCTAAAAACTATCCGGACAGCAATGGTGAACTCGAGACTATTTTGCCCTTGATTTTGTGTTTTCATGCGTTGAAATTCTTTTTAAAAAGGTATTCTAGATACATATTATTTTTATAACTCAAGTTTCGTGTCGAGTTCAAGTGAATTTGGTTTAGTTTCGCGAATTGTTGAAACGAAACTTATTATCTTTCTTTATGTGTTTTAGGAGTGATTGAATACTGTGATATCGATCCTAACTTGGATTCAGAGCTTTGATATTTTGGTGAGTTTCCATGCATGTTATCTGAATTTACAAATGTGACATAGATGTGAACTTGATGTTGTAATTGAGATGAATAGTATTTTGAATTGCTGAAGAGTTGTGATGTAGCCTAGGTTGTTATCCCATCGACAATCAGTGATTGAGTGTGCATGTTAATTCTTGGGAATTCCTGAGTCCTATAGGTAAGTCTGTCGATTCGAGCCAGTCATGAGATTTGATCGAGGAGATTTGACGAGCCATAGAAGAGTGTTTTATATTCACTGAACTTGGCATTTAGACTTGTCCCTTTTGACGTGAAAACTATGTATGCTCGAACAATACTCATTTTAAGTGTTTTGGATTTCAGGTCAGGTAGGAGGAGTCGTTGGAAGGAGAATGAAGTAAGTGGAGTTCTACATAGTGATAAAATTTGAAAGTCGATGGAGTGTCGACTACGTGAAATAAGATCAAGATTCGTGGAAATTGACTCCTGAGAGCCACCCATATCCTATCCCCTTGATATTGTTAATCGCTTTATTTACTCGTTTTGAATTGTGAATTTGTAGTGTAATTTGAACTGCTCTATGTGACTGTGTGCCTTTTGGAACTCACTAGACGTTAGCTCATTCTTTCAAATTTGTTTTCCTTAACAGAAATTGAGAACCCGAGTGAAGCCGTTGTCAGTTAGGGTGTGATCCTGTTTCTTTTGTATCTTGTTTTGGGTTGTTAAACTTTGAATTCGATATTTTGGAAGCTTGTAAGACGAACCTTGATTGTATCTTAAATACATTGGACCTTATTTTTTATTAGTCGGGTTGTAAGTTGAACTTAATTATGTTATAAGCTGTGGAATTGTTATTTAAGTACTTTGGAAGTATTTTATTCTATCGTATGAGTGAGTCCTGGCGCGAGTTGGGTAGGCAGCCTGCCCAACTCTTTGGTTCGCCCTAGGGGAAGGTGGAGCTATCACAGAAGTCTCTTTTCGTAATTGCGGCGACCCTTAATATATAACGTCCCCTCAAATCACACCAGTTTGTGATAATTTCTGATTTTAACAATATTTCGAGAAATTCGCTCTTCAAAATCAGGATGATTATGAGTTTTTCTTTCATAGTGAATGTAGTACTTGATTTTCAATTAACTAAGTATAGCAAAGTGGGTAAAACTTTTTTCCCTCATTAATATTAATATTATGCATGAATAATCTTTATTGACATAACACCATTAAAAAATTATAACTCCAATAACAAGTGAGAAATTGTAAGTAGGAGATATTGACATCAAGATTATACCTATCAATCAGGATTTACCATAGGCTAGATTGTTTGGATAGGGTCAATGGATTTTTGGCATGACAACTGGATGGGGCAGGGTCCACTTTGTCAACGTGTGGAGATTTTCCAGGACCAGCAGGTGGCGGATTTTGTGTTAGGGGGAGAGTGGAATGCCCGCTTGCTCTCACAGGTGATACAGCCGGAGCTGGTGCGACTTGTATTGTCTTGTAGGCCTCCAACGTTCCTGGGAGAGGACAGGATAGTTTGGATGCTAACTCCCAGCGGGGAGTTCTCAGTGGTCTTGGCTTTATCGCTTGTCCGGCCCCACTCTCATGGGTCGTTTGGAGCCGCTTGTGTTTGGTATCGGTCACTGCCAATCACGATTTCATTTTTCATACTTCGCTTGCTATCCGGTAGGCTACCTCTCCTGGAGCAGTTACACCATTTGGGTGTTCACGGGCCTTCTAGATGCTGTTATTGCTCTGATCCCCAGGAGGAACGGTTGTATCATCTTTTTTGCATAGGGGAAACTGACTAGTAGGTATGGAGGGCATTCGAGATGCAGGAGGGGGTGTTGACTCGTATCAGTTCGACCTGACACATGGCAAACTTGTGGTGGCTGCGGCCTACCCCACAGCAATACTTGGCTTTTGTTTATCGTATACTTCCTTCTACCATCTATTGGGAATTATGGCACGCGAGAACTAGGGCATTAGAGCAAGGGGGAAGGACAGATGGGGGAGTAGTGATAGCCCAAACCTTTGTCCGAGTAAGGGAATTCCTGTAGATTCAATTTGCAATGTTGTCATGGCCACTTGGCTCTTGGGAGAGTTTGCACTCGGCCTTGGTAGCTCGGTCGAAAAAGGTGACCATTTTACCAGTCAAATGGATGGCCCCGAGTGGGGGTTATAAGCTAAATACGGATAGGTGTTCTTTGGGGAATCCAGGGCAGAGTGGAGGTGGGGGCATGGTGTGGGACTTTCGGGGGGACTTCCTTCTGGGGTTTTCATACTTCTTTGGCGTCACTACGAGTCTCCATGGAGAGTTAAAGGCATTAGTACATGGTGTTAAACAGTGCATTGCTCGGGGTCTTTTGGAGCTGCATCTGGAAGTGGACTCGTTATCCTTGGTTCGGATTATATCCGAAGATCAAGAAGGCCCTGGCGACTGCAGCTGGAATTGGATGAGCTGATGCGTCATCGGCGTCTGTTTCGGTCCATTACCCATTGCTATAGAGAGGCAAATAAACCTTCAGACAGACTGGCTAAGTTGGGTGCCAATTTGGGAGCTGACTCCTTATTCAGTTCCTTTGCGGCACTACGTCCTTTGGTTCGCGATGACATAAGAATGGATAAATTAGGGCTTCCTAGCCTCCATAGGAGGTGTTGCTAGCTCATTAGTGTTCTGTTGGCAGATGGACCTGTGTTTGATTTTTTTATGAATAAAACTATTTTTTTTATTTTTTTAAAAAAAAACATGCTCAAACTCGACTAATATAGTTAGTATTATTTTTAAGTTTTGGATTATAAGTTTCAAGTTGATAAATGTGAAACTCATACTTGACTCATAAAATATTCAGCGTATGAGACTAATTTAGGTTTAATTCACACTCATTTATTACTCATTAATTTCCTTAATATAATTACTATAACTATTAATTTCTAAAACTAATTTAACATTCAAAGAATCACAACATTAATCCTATACACAAACAAATAATAGTTCATTAAAAAGTATATAAAATTAAAATTTTTCAACAATAATATATCTAATTAATTCAAAGTATATGATCAACCGTGAATACATCTTTAAAGGTTTTGAATTTGCTCGTACTAAGATTTGTCCTTCTGAATCTTTTGACATAATTTTGTATATTTAATATTTCTTATATATATTAATATATTTTGACATATAACACATAAGTATAAAATATTAGTATTATTTATTTGGATATATAATTATATATATCAAAATATTAATAATATATGTGTGTGTGTATATATAGATTAAATGGTCGAACCTATATTGGGTTTGAATCTAATAAGGTCCAAGATCGGCTCATATTTATTTTGGGCCTAATATTTAGTTCTAAACTCATCCCAACTTAATAAAAAGTTAGACTCATTGGACGATGCGTCTATGCTAGACACGCCTTGACTGTGCCTACCATAGGAACGCGATTGCAGTTTGACACGTGTCTCTAATGACCATTGCAGCGGAAAAGCTGCAATGGTTGTACTGTTAGCAGTAG